GGGGGGGGGGGCAGAAATCATTCCCCTAATAGAACCACAATCTCCTTCCCTCCAGTTCTTCATCCTGTCATGATTCTGGGCACATGCATGCCTGGAGTATGTTTCAAGATGCTGGGTCAGGACTTGAACTCTGGCCAGTGTGGGATCCTTAATAATCTGAAATGTGAATTTATTATTATTTAAAATTATGCCAGTGGGGGCTAAATGAGTGCATGACTGATCTACTGAATGAGACCCTTGTCACCTGAGAGCTGCCACCCCCCTTTACAGAGGAGTTTGAGCAGGTGACAGTCACTGGACTCCTCAAAGTGACAGTAGTTGGAGTATGGAAATCTGATTCCTGCCTGAGGACAGCAAGCTTTCCCCAGGGAGTTCCTCTTACTTTTTAGGTGACCTCCCCCACTTCCCCACCCCCACTTCTGTTTCCTGCCCCCACAGTCCCCCCAGGTCTTGGGCTCTCCTGAGAGGGACTCCCCTAGAAATCATTGGTGATGCTAGGACAGCTTTCTGCCGTTTTCATCCAGTTTGATTTAAGACGGTACGTGGGGAAGGTAAATCTTTAACTTTCCTGCAAAGCAAGAATTAGTCCCAATAGGGAAACCTAGAGGTGGAAGGAAGGGGCCAAGAAGCAAAGGGTGGGGAAGGAAGAGGAGAGGGGACCAGGGGAGAGACGTGCAGGGGGACGCGGGCCGTGGGTGGAGACGCAGGGATGGTATGTGGGCGGGCAAGCTGCCCCGGCACTGCCCAGACGGGGGAGGGCACGGACGCTGCGGAGAGTGTGCGCCCGCGACCGTCTAGCTACCGCCAAACGGCAGAAGGAGACCTGCCGCGCTGGCTCCGGACATGCTTTCCCTTCTGGGTCTACTGTGCTTGCTGCACGGGATCTGGGCAGCCCCGGGCGGTGAGTCGTGCGGAGCCGGGTGGTGTGGGGTGCTTAGGAGCCTGAGGCTTAGATGTGGGTGGTGCGGGCAGTCGGGAGGTGGTTTCCTCGCCTGGGTCTGAACAGGGACCGCAAAGGAGGAGAAAATAATTCCCAGAGAATGGGAGGGGGCGAGAGGGGGGAAGAGGGAGGTCTGGCCCTGTCCCCGGCCTCCTAGTGTGGCTCGTAACTGGGATTTCATTCCTTGTGCGACCCCGTTCGTCGATCGTGCCCTGTCACCGGCGACAGCCCGCGCGGCTCCTGATTTCTGATCACCCATCCCTCAAATGCCCGAGTTATTCTGACAACCCGCAGACGCCCCGAGCCCAGCACCGAGGGAGTGAGCGTTAGCAATTTCCCAGCTACTTTCTGCAGGAAGAAACCTCGGGTTCCTGCATGTAGCACGTGACCTGACTCCGGACAAGTCTTAGGTCCCATTCCCTGGCCGCACAGTCTGAATGGAAATTTGAACACTGGGATTTCTGAGGGAGTAAACTGGGAGCGACCTGCAAGGAAGTGAGGATAGCAGGAGCGGGTGACAGAGAGGACATGAGACCAGAGGAAGTGAGCCCCCTGGCGGCTAGTCAGTGGCTTGGGGGTTAAGGGGGATCCCTCAGTGGTTTGAGCCCTGGACTCCTGCCTTGAAAAACACGCCAGGGACTTTTGCCTGGTGCCGGATGTCCCTGAAGGAGAATGAAGGGTACTGCTGTGTGCCTGTCCCCAGGTGGGGAGGGGGGTCCTCTATCACATTCCCTTCGTTACTCTCCACGGGACCAGCTGTGAGCACACGCCCTGTAGCAAAACTAAAAATTAAACTTGCATGGCCTAGAAAAACAGGAATGTGTCTTGTACACGGAGGGCTAGGACTTGGAGCTGAGACTCTTGTGTTTACTCCACTGCCCTGGGCTCAGTAGAAGCCTGAGTCACTCATTTTCAATGACTCATTCACCAAGGCTCCCACAGCTTGGCTGAGGCTGTCAAGAGGACTAAGCTATCACCTCCTATCCTTAGGAGCTGGGGAAGGGGCACCCTGTGGTGACCCCCATCCCCACTGGAAATGAGAACGGACCCGCTCTGGCTGGGCAACAGGAGCCCCTTCCCAGGCCACTTGCTGCTGGCCTCTGTGCTGACTCACAGGTGACTCAGAGCACCCTAGAGAGGCAGGTCTCAGGCCCACTGCAGTCACCCTGTCTCCCCTTCCCGCTGTCTCAAGCCCACCTGGTCTGAGCTGCCCTGACTCCCCTTCCTGCTATGTA